ACTGTTGTGTAAAATTCACAGTGCTAGCTTGTCAGTTAGTGAAAAAACTGTTGTGTAAAATTCACAGTGCTAGCTTGTCAGTTAGTGAAAAAACTGTTGTGTGAAATTGTTATGCCAAAATATAGAGTAGAAAACTCATGTTAACATGACTGAAATACATATGAAAATGCCAATACTCCACATGCACACTCACTTCCCTCTGACTGACATACCAGTTTTGTTAAATACAAATTTATAAATTTGATGTATTGCATTGTTGCCCATCAGTTGTTATACAATATATTCATCACTGTTTACATATTATATACTGGTTCTTCCATTGAAGTTAATTATAGTATTATGCATTGCTTTGTTATCTAACCCATGACATATTGGGAAGTGCGAGTTTAATCCATTTCTAAGACAATAACAATGAATGGTATAATTTAAAATATTTGACAGAGCTACTTACTGTAATAATACATAATCTAATGCCCTTAATTCCCTGTATATTTATGTTTGGTTTCACCAGTATGTCTGAATATATTGAGCTGTTGCAACCTAGTTTGCAACTATAAACTTATTAAAAAAAATAGTGTGTTCAAATAAAATTGACAGTTATATTTTCCAGGATCTACTGTCTATATCTTCCTGACCTCCTACTTTGTAGATCTTTGACCTTTGTGTCCAGAACTTGTTTTAAACTGTTTCATTATCTTTTACATAAGTTATAATTCCAATCGGTATTTTTACACAGTTCATGGTATAACCATGTGCCATTTACTAAGAGCTTTAGGTTATAATTCCAATCGGTATTTTCACACAGTTCATGGTATAACCATGTGCCATTTACTAAGAGCTTTAGCCCATTAGGCGTAATTACTGTTAAGTGTAACATTAAATTGGAACTCTAGAAATTAACTTTAGCACAATCTTATTGTAACTGATAAAAATAAAAGTATTTTCTGTCATATGGCAGATTTTTAGTTTATTGCCTTGTTAGCACAGTTGAACAGTAGAATTGAAAGAATTATCAACATTATCTTTTTGTTTTATCAACTATTCCTTTAATGATATCTAAGGCTTTAAATTGGTCTTGCATGAAAGATGGAGAGCTTAATAAATATTCTTAACTCTTCAAGATGAAGATTGTGAAACTCCACTTGGTTCACAAGTTTAGAGGAATTTAATATGTTGGAGGAGTTCATTTGTTGATAATTAACAGTACAGCAGTCAAAACTTCTGAATGTTTGTATTAATATTACTAATCTTTCTCTTTTCAGGTTTCTACTGATATAGAAGGTAAAAATGCATGGAAGGAGTGTTTTAAAGTAAGTGGAGTGAAGCTGCCCACAGGTTATTATTTTGGAGCATCAGCAGCAACTGGTGAGCTGTCAGGTAAGAACCAATCGTTTTGTGAAGAAACAAAGGAAAATACACATCAAGTATGAAAGGAACCTGAGTAGTTACCATATGCATTAATTATAAATAAGAACAAGGTTAGATTCATTATAAAAACCTTTCACAACCAGCCGCATTTCTAGTGGTCATTACTTGCAACTTACTTAAAGGTTAAGAGAAAATAATTGAATTACACTGACACAAGGTGCCTCTCATTATTAGGTAGCTTGTAGTAGGATTTGTTTATTAAACAGTTCATATTGAATTACACTGACACAAGGGACCTCTCATTATCACGTAGCTTGTAGTAGAATTTGTTTATTAAACAGTTCATATTGAATTACACTGACACAAAGTGTCTCTCATTATCAGGTAGCTTGTAGTAGAATTTGTTTATTAAACAGTTCATATTGAATTACACTGACACAAGGGACCTCTCATTATCAGGTAGCTAGTAGTAGAATTTGTTTATTAAACAGTTCATATTGAATTACACTGACACAAGGTGCCTCTCATTATCAGGTAGCTTGTAGTAGAATTTGTTTATTAAACAGTTCATATTGAATTACACTGACACAAGGCACCTCTCATTATCAGGTAGCTTGTAGTAGAATTTTTTTATTAAACAGTTCATATTGAATTACACTGATACAAGGCATCTCTCATTATCAGGTAGCTTGTAGAAGAATTTGTTTATTAAACAGTTCATCTTTCTGCTACTTTTTGCTGTGTTCGTGCTTATGTAAAAAAAACAATCATTGAGTAGATAGTTTACCAACAGTTGACAGTTGTTTTCATTCTCTCACTCTTTTAGGAAGTTTATAAAAATGTTTTGCAGCTAGAGAAGATTTAGAAACCATAACATCCAGTTTTTAGTTTAAAATCTAAAACTCTTAGGAAACAAGGTAGGACCAACCTTTTAAATTTTAAATTAAGATGGCCTACTTCAGAAAAATATATCCCATCCAGTATTTAATTGTGAGTATTCTCTAATAATCAGTTTCTTCAACACTTTGGTTGTATACGCTTCAGTTAAATCATGGTGTGAATACTTTCTTGGATTTTAGAATAAATTTCTGTACCTGATGAATATTTCTTACTTTCCAGATAACCATGATATTATATCTATGAAATTGTATGAGCTAGAAATTGCCAGTGAGGTAAGATACTGCCCTGTAACTGTAAGATTTAACATTTCATGTGTCTGTTTTGGATTCAAACTAGTTTTCCTCAAAATCAAAACAGTTTAAGCCATTAGGTTACAGCTCAAATGAAGAACTACTTATTAGCAGCAACTTTTATTAATGATGATATCATTATTTGCATCATATGTTTGAGACCCACATGGCCACACTATTTTGTTCTTGTGGTTTGTGTCCCTTTATGCAAATATGGCTAGGAGATGTATTCATTTCTTTTGATGACTGACAAGTAGTTCAGTGGGATCTTATTGTCATTTACACTTTACCCAATCAACTAATAGGATATAAAGTGTAAAGAAACTACTTACATTGCTAATAACAGTATGAACCATCCAGTCCTAATAATGATACTGTTATATGAACCAACTGCTTTTAATAATTTCAGTTCTTTTGTTAGTTTTGTTCTGTATCTATCCAAGATATTCTAAAATAAATCTACTTTACAATTAGTTCGTGAACACTTTATTTCTGCCGTGAAGATATAAAAAGGGAAGTTTTTTATTGCTTAAACTCGTGTTTGTTTGTTTTTTGCAGACTTGAAACAAAAAATATTTTTGTTCAACACATTTTGATTTTAGTTTGTGAAATAAGTTACATAAAATAAATCTACTCTATTTAGTACATTCTGATTTTAGTTTATATTAAAATGTCTACAATATTGTGTTGATGTTTGAATTGACCTGGGGTATTTTTTTTTGTGTACTTGACCCCATTCTAGTAAGCATAAGAAATGTACTAGCCCAACTATTTTCACTTTGTATTTAAGAATAATTATTCTGATTCCAGTGAAGAGTTATTGCATGAATTAGCAGATGTTATAAATACAAAACTAAATAATTATATTTTAATTTATATTTCAGTAATTGAGTCGCACATATGTGTTTGTACGTCAGCTAGCTTCTGTTGTTTTAGCCAGTTGTTAATAAACAAGTTGCCAATCTTACAGAAACTTCTGGCAGTAAATACTTAATGATTTGAAAGAAAAAATTACAATTAGTGTTTAGAAAATTTTAATAAGTAAATATATAATTATTTTTACACACATTTAGTGCAAGGAGAACTACATTAGCCACTTCTAATACCTTTAGAATTCATAATAGCCCAAACTCAAAACTTGATAGTCCCAGATATTGGGCTAGCACATTTTTTAACCCCTGTTTATAGAAGAAAAAAAAAATTCAAAAGTGGAAGTATGGTAGCACGTACACACTTAGTTTTTAATAATGAATGTATATATATATATACACATCATTAAAAACTAAATGCCTAAATGTTACCATATATTCAACATTAAAAGTTACCATAGTAAAATGTTTAATAATGAAGTATATGATAACATTTAAAATGTTTTTAATAATGTATAGGAAAACATTTACATTTAATTTTTAATAATGAATATATGGTAACTTTAACATGTAGTTTTTAATAATGATTGACCTTGTATTGGAGAAGTAATGTTGAATAACATTCTGAAGTTATAAAGAGTATTTTAACAATATGTGGCAAGCTTTTAGCAAGTATGGCAAGTCTGTTGTACACAAAAAATCAGACACGTTAATGAAATTTGTGTGCTAAAGATATATCTGTGAAATGACAAATTCAGTCTGACTCGGACTTCAGTAAGTCAGAATACAAGATAATGTTGATATGAAGAATAAAAAATACCTTTGTCCATTGTACAGTTTGCAGAACCTCTACAACCTCTTAAAGGCATATTTTAAGTTTCTTTTCTGTATCCCTTTATATTATATATGGTATTTTCTGTACTCTAATGTGAACTGTTACAAATTCAGCCAGCAATTGTAGAGTAACTTGAAAAGCTAAGTCTGACATCAAATTCATAATACCATGTTGAATGGCATTCTGTACAAGGTTGGTACATTCACATTTTGATTCACACCCATGCACATAGGGATAACACATTTATTTTTAAGTAATGAAGTGTATGGTAACATTAACACTTAGTGTAATTACTTGTGTAATGTTTAATAACGAACTATATGGTACAAGGTTGGTACATTCACATTTTGATTCACACCCATGCACATGGGGATATGTTAACACATTTATTTTTAAGTAATGAAGTGTATGATAACATTAACACTGTTAGTGTAATTACTTGTGTAATTTTTAATAACGAACTATATGGTAACATTTACACGTGTAGTTTTTAATGGTGTGGTATTTTCTTTCTTGTGCTAGTAATGAGGTAAGTCACAAGGTAAGTTATTATTATTATATGTTGTTTTTAGTACTCAATATTTACACATACACACACACTGAGTGTCCGGTAAGTATTTTTAGTTTTTAATAAGTTCGTTTAAACAACTTGGCTTGTGTAAAATCTGAAAATTGGTAGTTACAGTGGACGTAATGGGTGGTTGGGATGTATACTAGTTAGTTTAAATAACTTGGTTGGGCTTTTATAACTCTATACTTGTGTAATTTATTAATGTAGTATTAAGTTATTGCTTTACTCATATAATGGGGGCTGGAATGCCAACCTCATGAGGTAAGTTTATCTTACTTGCCTCCAAGTAGTAGTAGTAGTACCTTATTTCGTTTTTCTCTTTTATATATTTATTTATCTTTTTCTTTCTTCTTTTATATTCTTACTTTGGAGGGCAGTCACCTTCCCACAACTGTCTGCAGGCAGTGAAGAATGTTATAGATGTGGGACGTTGTGCATCTACATCTCGCTCTCCTAACTTGTATTTCTATTGATAATTTCTTCATGTGAAACTGGCGAATGGAAATTAAGACAGGTGGTGGATTGCATCCTACTTATGCAGCCAAAAACCAAGGGAACATTTTATATCCCATATTATAACCTGTACCCTAGGGGTCCTTTTGATTTGTGCAGTGTCTTTAATTTTGTTTGGGCTTGTTTTTGTTCATCTATTTGGTATTATAAGGTAGTTTAGTTTGTCATTTCATTGTTGTTTTCTTAACATCAATTCATGGAAATTTAATGGTTTCTTTCAAACTAATTTTAGTTGAAAGATGAAGAGGATAGATCCAACATTGAGCCTTCTGCTTCTTTCTTTGCATCCCCAAGAGGTGAGAAACTCAGTCTTGTTGAACCAAATAGTTAAATATTTAAAGATTTTTATGCATTTGATTGAATTGAAAAAGAACTATTTACCTCTGATATCTGCCTATTAGCAACCACATTTTCTAAACATTAATCACACATATTTTAAGACAGTTTGAACCAAGTTTAAAGTTATTTTATCTCCATTTGGAATTACTTATCTTAACATAAGGTAGTATTACAAAATCAGCCACTTGAAGTAGAGCAAAGGTACACTACATAATTGATGTACACTTTCCATTTTGGAAGGACTTATTTGTGTACATCTGTAAGTACACTTTTTTTAAGACCTTATCAATATGATACTATAAAAGACCTTATCAATAAAAGATACTATACAAAACCTTATCAATATGATACTATAAAAGACCTTATCAATAAAAGATACTATACAAAACCTTATCAATAGAAGATACTATAAAAGACCTTATCAATAAAAGATACTATACAAAACCTTATCAATAGAAGATACTATAGAAGACCTTATCAATAAAAGATACTATAGAAGACCTTATCAATAAAAGATACTATAGAAGACCTTATCAATAAAAGATAC